TTAGTTGTCATTCTGTGATGTACACATGCTTAACGTCAGACTCTTTACCTTATTCAGCTGAAAAATCTAAGCTGGCTGTTGCTCCCGAGAAAGAGAGCAATTAGAAACCTTTTTCAGAACTCCCTCCTGTGCCTCAGCTCAGTGGCAGAAGAATCTGCTTTCTATTAAAGTGATAAATTGCATAATTGGAGGTGTAGGCAACCCTCACTGTAAAATTTGTCTTTGTCAGGTATACGAAGCATTGATTTTCTTTGTTTGCTGATGCAAACCCCCCGGTATGAAGCTGTAGTCTCCCAGCACCCTGCTACCTGCAGAGGTTCGTGCTGGCACAGCTGGAGTCCGTCTCTCGCGTGCCAGCCTTGCGCTGTCCCTGCAGCGCTCTGACCTGCTGCCCGTGCGCGGGGTGTGCCCCTGCCCCGCTGCCCCGGCGCCTCAGCTGCCTGGAGCTCCTGGCGGATCCTGCTGTGCGGAGGATTTTATTAAGGATACAGAGTTGCATTCATCTTCCAGAATCCTGTTGGTAACCCCCTGGAGTGAGTCACTGGTGTCCCCCAGCAGACGTAATCACCAGGTTGTTCCTAAGCACTCGGTTAATGTCGGGCTGCATGGTCGTTCCCCGGGTTGCCCCCAGAGTGCATGGAGATGGATGGATCCCGCGCTGGGTTTGCTGGAGGGGAGATGCTGCAGGCGGCCGTGCGGGAAGCCAGCAGTGCCCTCGGCTCTCTCCTGCAGACTCCAACATGACTGAGAAGCAGCGCTTCGCTTGGAGCACTCGGATCAATTAAAACTGCTGCAGGATAAAACACGTGGGGAGCATTGCTGTGCAGGCCACAGCGGAGGGGAGAGGTGGATTTCCTGCCTTTGTCTGGCTGTGTGAGCAGCAGCCGAGCCTCTGGAAACAGCCCCGTCTTTCTAATCAAGTTGGGCTATTGCTTGTCAGCCCTTTACCCTTCATTTTCCGTTTCTCTTTTTGTCTCCTCCTACTTATTTTTCTTTTCCGCTTCTCTTATCCTCCTCCCGCATCCTTGTTTGGACAATCCAACCTTGGACACTCAGATGTGTAAGCCAAGTCTTTTTCCATGCCCTGGGAAAAAATGCCAAGCTTGTACCCTTCATTTTTGGTCTTTACTGTGAGCCTGGAAATGCTGTTGGGCAAAGGGATTAGGAGCCCTGAGAATAAACATTACCAGCCACACAAATTTCACTTCTTATGGTCGGCTTGTTAGTCCAGGAGACCTGCTAAAGATTTCTTCCCATGTACAGCATGAGCAATCCCTGCATCTGGCGTGTTTTTGTCACAGACAGTCTGAGATCTGCTGCTTTCCATTTATGCCTCTTTTCCCCAGCCTTAGTCCACCTACAGCATTCGAGTCTCTGTCTCCATGGCTCTTTGCCATTGCTCATCTTATTCAGCAATCTAAATGCAAAAGTGTCCCTTTTTTTTTTTTTTAGCAGCCCCAGGAGACACTGGTTTTCACTGACTCCTTGTTTTCCAGAAAGACATTTCCATTGTCCTCCCAATAATATCAGAAGTGCTGCTGGTGGGGGTGGCCTGTCTTCTGGGGTTAACTCAGGCTGCTGGATCTGTTCTGATTGCCTTGTGCTGGGGACGAAGCTGCGAGCTGCTCCCCATTCTGGTCTGTGGTAATTACAGCGGCAAAAGTGTCTTATTTCCGGTTTACCACGGCAGGTATTGGCAGCATGAAATCCAGCGCTGCTCTCGCCATCTGTGGGATGGAGCCCAAAGCTCTCCTGTCCCGCGGTCCGTGGAGCGGCACCGCAGCCTCGCAGGGTGCCGCTCCTGCATCGTCCCTCGCCTTGCGTGAAGCACATCTGCGAGACTAAGTGAAAAAAATGAAGACATTTTTAATTCTGGCAGTACTTCCGTTGTAATTAAACAGCCTGAAAGGATGCCTCGGGGAGAACAACTGCAGCTCGGCTGTTTACAGAGCTGACCAAGGGAGAGCTTCCTTACAACGGCTCTATCTTATGACCTGCAAATTGTGTTTAATAGCTGATCTGTCACCTTAGGTTCTTGTATCAGAAAAGACGGTTTCTCTATTAATTTGCATCAGCACAGCATGTTTACAGTTCCTCAGTGTGGAAATACTGCTCTGTTAGTGCTGCTGATCACAAAAATAATTTATCACCTGAGCTCTCTGCCTCTTGCTCTGGCCCGTGGATCTTCTTGAGTTAGCATTACCCTTCCAATCGCGATGCAGTTCTGGTAAAAAGAATCTTTAGAAAGGTTTCTCCTGCTTTTGAAAGTCATGAAAGGCTCATTTCTTTAGAGATGTGATTTGATTCTGTGATTCAATAGCAAAATGTGGTTCCAGATGAGAGGTGCTGAGCCAGCTCTCCTCCTGTAGAAAAGATTTTCTGATCCGCTTTCTTTTTATGTCTGATTTCTAGATAGCGTGGCCAGGAAGATGTTAATCATTTGCCTTGGAGAAAGAAATTAAAATCCTGCATCTGTGGGGCATGGCCAGTCTGCAGGCTGGAGCCGGGCAGGAACGTGCCAGTTTATCGAGGGCGGTCGAGTCCAGGGGGAATGCCCGGGGTGAGGGAACACCCCCAAACTCATGTAGCTCCTGGGGACAGACACCGGGGTGAGGGAACACCCCCAAACTCGTGTAGCTCCTGGGGACAGACGTACAGCTTCGCAGGGAAAATGTGGCAGGACCTGCTGGTGTGATGCTGGGGGCGTTGGAGAGGTTCATCGTGGGCCCTCTGGACACTGACAGGAGCCACCACCACCCCTCAGCTACTCCAGCTGCTTACTTTGAGTGTTTTCCTTCCCACCTTGGTGTGAGCGTGTGTTCCTGGGTGCTGGTAGTGGGGAAGAGGCAGCTGCTTAGAACAGTTACAAAAGGTGGGCTTGGCTCTACAGAGTGCCAGGTGAGTTTAACCCCGGCGCTCAGTCCTCTTGCTGTCCGCGCCGTGCTAGTCGTGGCCGCGGTCACACATCCCGCGCGTGCGGAGCAGGAGGCTCCGTTTCCCAGCTCATCCGGTGCTCCCTGGGGGTGGGGCTGGTGGCTTCATCAGTGGTGTCGCGCTGAAGCCTTTCTCTAGCTCCGTGGTGTTCAAATTGATGATAGTTTGTTGGCAAGACCTGTGAAGTGCTTTCCGTTGCACCTGTGCTATGGAAGCCCGTTTCACGGGAGAGCTTTGGTGTTGGCCTGGGGATGCTGCACCCGGAACGGTGAACTCACCAGCAGCACCTTTACCAGCTGCGCTGGGCAGGGCAAGAGGGGAGCTGCAAACTAAAGCAGAAGTGTGCCACACCGCGGCTCTGGCAGCTGGGCTCAGAAAGCAGGGTGGAGGAGCGTGCCTTTCCTCCCAGCACAGGAACAGCGGGAAGGGCCCTGCCTGCCTGCAGCCTGGTGCTGTGCCCAGCTGCTCTTCCCCCGTCACACCGCCCTGTGCAAAGATCTCGCCTGTTATAGGAAATCTGAAGAGGTGATTGGGGCGCTCGGAACCGCTGCATGGACAGGAAGGTTAGCCTAAGGATGCTCTGGGAGTGTGCAGCCGAGGCGCAGGAAAGGGCGAGGCTGCCTCTTCGTTGGTAGCACAGGGTTCTGCCGTTCTGAATGGCAAGGACGAGCGTCCCGAGATGCTGTGTCACCATCTCGGGTGGAAGGGTGGACGGGTCTTTCCTGAGCTAGGGTGCTAGGGAGGGGCGAGGCCAGTCTGTGCAGTCACCCTGACGGCTCCTTTCTGGAAGTTTGGAAGCGACGGCTGTTGTAGAACTGGGTCACGGCAGCAGCTGGGGAGCGAAGGAAATGCACATGCAGGGACCGTGGAGGACGCGGGTCAGGGCTTTGGCGTGAAGAGCCGTGCTGAGGCAGCAGATGTGTGCTAGGCAGGAGGAACATCCCTGCTCCTGGCTCCGTGCCCCGCGGTCTGGCCGTGTGTGCTCTGCCAGGTGGAAGGAAGGCCTGCGACCCGGTAGATGCAGTGGACAAAAGAATCGCATTCTCAGATAATTTGTCTTGTTAAATACAGTTGTTTCTTGGTGATGAGAACTCCAGTTTTCAAATAGCTATATTTATTTAAGATGTCCCCAGGGGACAGAGGCTGCAGCTGCTGAGATCCCGCTGCCTGTGCTGCAGTCCCAAGGTTGTTTGGGGCTCGGTGACAAGCGATGTTGTGCTGGAAGGGCCCTGATGCTGCACGGCAGGAGCTGTGCTCTCGGGAGCTTGGGGTGATCGGCCCAGCAGCAGTACGTGGAGGTGGTGGGGACTGCCGCTGGCCTGCTGGTATTGCAAGACGAGCAGCAGAGGCATCTCCCTTCTCCCGGCTGAGCACTGGCTGCGCGCGTGTGAGTTTTCCAGCAGCGGATGTTCAGTGTCTGGAAAGAAGAGACTGCCGAGTCTCGTGGTGGCTCAGCCTGCATGGTCACGTTGAGTAACGTATTCTGCTGCTGGTCTCTGGCAGCGTTTTGGCATCAGCCGGCGGGGTCTCAGGAGCCTGTTGCTTTGGGGTGAGTGTGCTGGGTGCAGGGTGGAACGCTTGTTTGCGATGTTCTCTGCAGCTGAAGATCGTTATTTGTCTGCTTTCGTGAGAGCTGCCATACCCAGGGTTGTTTGCTGGGTTAGCAGGACGCGGTGTGGGTGTTAATGTAGTTGTGAGAGGTGACCTGGGGTCTAGCTGCTCTGTGGGTCAGCTCGGGCTGGTCCTGGAGGGCAGTTTTCTGCAGGGATCACTTTCTCTGTTTCCTCAGTGGTCTCTGCCCCTTGGCAGTGCCATCCTTCCCCTCTGCCAGGTACACTCACACACTGTGTGCTTCAGAGAGGTAATCCCAGCCCTGCTCCCCTGAGTCAGTCCTGCTGCCTCTGCCTGAGCTGCCTGAGGGATGCAGAAGAACTGCAGAGAGCAGATTTTCTAGCTGGTAGTAACTTTCTTTTCCAGAATGGCCTTTTGTGGCTTTGATTTCTAGGACTGAGGCTATCTGACTTGCTTCCGTGAATACTTGTCCTTTTTCTCTCTTACCCCTGCAGGCAGCGTCCTCAGCACTGAGCAGCCTGGGCCACGTGTACACAGCCATTGGGGACTACCCGAATGCCCTGGCTAGCCACAAGCAGTGTGTCCTCCTTGCCAAGCAGTCCAAAGATGAGCTCTCTGAGGCGCGGGAGCTGGGCAACATGGGAGCAGTGTACATCGCGATGGGGGATTTTGAAAATGCGGTGCAGTGCCATGAACAACATCTGAAGATCGCCAAGGAACTGGGGAACAAGCGGGAGGAAGCTCGAGCCTACAGCAACCTGGGCAGTGCTTACCACTACCGGAGAAACTTCGACAAAGCCATGTCCTACCACAACTATGTTCTGGAGCTGGCCCAGGAGCTGGCTGAGAAGGCCATTGAGATGCGAGCTTATGCTGGCTTGGGCCACGCAGCTAGATGTATGCAGGACCTGGAGAGAGCTAAGCAGTACCATGAGGAACAGTTGCACATTGCTGAGAGCCTGCAGGACCGAGCTGCTGAAGGCAGAGCATCCTCCAATCTAGGTAAGGCCCTGACACGGAGCAGAATTTGTTAGGGAATGCCGTGACTATCACAGCTGCTGCCAGCATGCAGGAGGTTTGCTGCGTGTTGTCTTCCTAGTTACCCCAGACTGTCTTCATAAATTAAACAGGCACTTGGCAGCTTGTGTGCCAGTGAAACATCCCGTGTTCAATTATTAACCTGCTCAGAAAGGTGCTAGAAAGCACAAGCTCATGGCAGAGGGGGATTGAAAAGGCAAAGTGCATTTGAAGAACCACTTGGGTGTCAGAAATAAACGTAAGTCTTGCACTAAGGCAAGAAGTGACGTGGTTTATTACCTGGCTGTTTCTTTGGGAGCTTGTCAGCTGGGTATGTCAATATATTGCTTCCTTGGAAGTTGGGAGACACAGGGGTCAAATCCTAACTAAGTTTGTTTTCAGGATGTACACATTAAAGTAATAAAGTGTAGGAGTCTCACCTTCTTCTAAGGAGAGACACTGGCATCCTGCTGGCAGGCTGGGAAGGACCGAGTTACATCAAAGGCAAATCTGTTCCTGGTGCTTCTTCACAGTGCCAGATGTGGAAGCGACCAAAGATGTGTTTCCATGTCTGCCATGGGATGTGGCATTTGTGCTGCTGATGTTCCAGCTGTTGTTGAGGATGTTCTCAGCTGGCTGGGAGTGGCAGAACAGGGCTGTTGCTGGTACAACAAAATCTGTGTTTGCTGGCAGCCCTTGATCTCAGCTCTTGCCGGCTGCCCCATGCTGTAGATTAGCTTCTGTTTCTGCTTGGCAGTTGGCACTTGGTTCATTTGTAGATGCTAATTGTACTCTGATGTTATCAACAGCAGGTAATTGAAAAGGGCTTGATGAATTACTTAATTTCTCTTAATAGCTGAGTCTTCAGGAGCTGGATGAGGAAGATAAGGTGAACTGGAGAAAACAAAACAGTCCTAGCTTTCTAGTTGGTGTTGTGGATCTCCTCCTTTACACAAATTAGGGCAAACGTGTGAGGCAAAATGGGTTTGTGAGGCAAAAGCGCCTGTGGTGTGCTAAGCTTTAGAGAGCAGTGAGCATTGATGACATTTCTGACAGTGTGACAGAGCATCCAACGGGCAAGAGGGCTGTGGAATGGAGCCTTGTGTCTGGCTTCCTCCACCATTTACGTAAGGGCTTCTGCAGAGAACAACAGCAGACGCACCCAGCAAAGCACAAACTGCGTCCCCCCGTCTCTGCTGCCAGCGTGGGGCTGGTCCTGTGGAGATGTGAGGGATGCGCTGGTCTGCGAGAGGGACAGAGGGGCCCCATGGAGGAACGGGACCTTGGGTTTCCAGGCAGGGAGCAGGGCGAGGTGTAAACTCTGGGTCCTTGGTGGGGAGGATGAGACGTTGTCCTCGGCTGTGCTTGGGGAACGCACCGGCGTCCCAGCTCTTGGTCAGGACGGAGGGAAGGTTCCTCTTGCTGTGAAGCTGAACTTACTGTGTGTTGTTTGCAGTGCAAGCTGAGCAGAGGGTGCGCAGGGTGCTCCGCTGGTGTAGGTACCAGAGATGGCACGGGCGTGTTTAGCTGTGAGCTATAAAAGGGGGGTGGACGTGCTCCGAGCAGCACTGGCAAACCTCCGGAGATCAGGACCGCTTCCATTCACCTCCCCTTCAGAGGACTTCCTGCTTTCTGGAGAATTGCCCCAATTCTTTCTGAGCAAATCCGGGAAACTGAGGAAATGCAGTCTGGGGAAGCGGAAGCGGTCCCTTGGGTTGGCTTTTCTTCCCCGTGTCAGTGTGGTGATGGGCTGACTCGTGTTGTCCGTATTGTCTCCCCCTGCTCTTGCGAGGCCTTTGCCATTGGGCAGACCACAGCTTGAGCTCAATTCGAGTTCCTCAGTATTTCTTCTAATTGCCTGTATGTTCAGTGTTGGCTGTCTCTGTGCAGCTCAGCATCGCAAAAAACCCAACAAACTGGTACAGAAATGTTGAGATGAGGTGGGCTCAGCAGTTCACTGCGAGTCTGATACCGTTGCAGTTACTTTGCCTCACCCCAGAATGACACAAGCGCTGCCGCAAAAGGAAGAAACTTGGTCTTGTTTCTCAGCCTTCACAGTACTTGCTAGAGGTTTAAATTCTCTCACCGTTTTCCTGGGTCAAAATCAGTCAGGTTGGGACTAGAAAATTCATCTTAATGTCATTATTAATCTTAAAGCAGCTTTGGATTCAGTGATGCTTTCAGCATGTAATTCCAGAAATTTTGGTTAAAAAAAAAAAAAAAAAAAGAGTTTTGGTGCAGCAGAGAATATTTTTCTGGTGTTGGATTTAAGCCTAAATACAACTTTCAGTTGGTATGCTGACTCAGCCACTCTGCGCTTTGTATTAGAGCAGTTTTCCTAGCTTCTGAGTGCAGGATCTCACGTTTCAGCTGTTATTTGGCTATGTTTTTATGTGTTCTCTGTCAGAGCTAAGTTATACTGGAGAAAGAGAACATGCAGTTCTTGTTGAGAAAGTCTGTTGCTGTTGTTTAAAATGCATCCAGTACCAATTAAAAAGTCAAGTCTTAATTGTCTCTTTCATCTAATCCACATGCAAAACAAAACCTCATCAAAATAACCATGCTGACAGGAAAAAAAAATGTATCCAAGCCAGAATGTTAGAGTTGGCCTCTTTGCTGAAGCAACAGAAATTTTCTGTTTGCATTTCACTGATTTAGATGGAAAGCTCTCTTAAGTGTACTATCTAATGCTGAGCAAGACAGACAGGGAGTGTAACATGGCCCAGCTGCTGCGGTGCTCTGCAGGGAGACCGAACGCACTGTGACTCCGTCAGCAGACGGTAATGGACTGAGGACAAGTCACAAGTTATCGAGCCTTTCACAACAAGGAGATGTGGAGTTTAACCAGAAGTCTCAGATTGTCAACCTTTGCAAAGCAGATGGTGTTTCCAAACGCCGAGGCTCCATGGAGAGAGCTCAGCCTCGGCAGCTCATAAGGGTTCCTGTTGCGATGGAGAGAGGATGCTTCAGATTATTAATAAAACACGGTTCTAAGTCTCTCCCGTGGTGCTTAACATCTCTTTGCAGTTACAAGAGAAGCTCTGTGCCTGTTTTCTTGTGCTTGGCGTGTTGTCCAGCAGTGCCAGACAGGGCTGGGAGCAGGGGCTCCGCGGGGCAGCGCTGGTCCTGCCTGCCTGCAGCTCGGACACCTCGTGGTGTTTGCAGGGGACAGATTTAGCTAATTCCGTTTCTGGAGCAACAGGATGCTTTCACAGTGACTAGTTTTTGCAGTTTATAGGTTATGTAGCTTTGTGTACAATCCAGTTCATCCCCTTGTAGTTACTCTGTGTTTTTTCTGCAGTGGTCAGTGGTCTGTCCTGTGGGTGCTCCTCTGTGCAGCTGCGGCTGCCAGCGCTGGCCGTGTCTCCAGACAGGAGGTGGAGGGCAAAAGTACTCACTGTTTTCTTTTAGGGGCAGGGAAAGACCTGATGTTGTCGTCAGAGATCACGTAACTGATGAATCTGCAAGATGTGTGTTTGCAGAGCCTCCTTCCGCGGCTCCTGCGTCCCCAGGCCTGTTGGTGAGAGTTTGCAGAGGAGCCGCGTGTGTTACCGGCACAGAGCTTCACTGGGGCCTGAGCTGTAACACCAGCGGGTTCAGAGCCGCGTGTGTTACCGGCACAGAGCTTCACTGGGGCCTGAGCTGTAACACCAGCGGGTTCAGAGCCGCGTGTGTTACCGGCACAGAGCTTCACTGGGGCCTGAGCTGTAACACCAGCGGGTTCAGAGCCGCGTGTGTTACCGGCACAGAGCTTCACTGGGGCCTGAGCTGTAACACCAGCGGGTTCAGAGCCGCGTGTGTTACCGGCACAGAGCTTCACTGGGGCCTGAGCTGTAACACCAGCGGGTTCAGAGCCGCGTGTGTTACCGGCACAGAGCTTCACTGGGGCCTGAGCTGTTCGGAGCCCCGTGTGTTACCGGCACAGACCGTCACTGGGGCCTGAGCTGTAACACCAGTGGGTTCAGAGCCGCTGTTCCCGTGTCTCCTAACACGATGGCTGAATTTGTAAAGCAAATGCAGAAGCTTTCTCACTCAGTGTGTTGAGTATGAGCTGTGGAGTCACCAGGCATCACTGAAGAAAAAGAAGTAGCATAATTAAGAAAAAAACGGGCATTTTGTAAGGGCAGGCTGTGCAGTTGCGGTGAATGGGTGCTTCATGTGTCCTACGAAGCCTTGCCTGGGATTTGGCTGTTGGGAGCGAGGAAGCAGTTTGGGCACGAAGGGCCGTGCCACGCTGTCTGTGCGGGGACACGTCGGGGTCCCTGCTGCGGGGAGGGGACGGGGCTGCCTCGTGTCGAGTGCCTGGGGAAGAGGCCAGGCCGCGAGCTGCCGGGGGCCGGGCTGCAGAAAGGTCCTGGCGTGGCGAGGCGTTGCAGAAAGGTTAGCGCGGAGGAACGCTTTTGTTGAGCCCGCTTCTGTTGTTTTTCAGGAATCATTCACCAGATGAAAGGTGACTACGACACTGCGCTGCGGCTGCACAAGACACATCTGTCCATAGCTCAGGAGCTCAGCGACTACGCGGCCCAGGGCCGGGCCTACGGCAACATGGGCAACGCTTACAACGCCCTCGGCATGTACGACCAGGCTGTCAAGTACCATCGGCAGGAGCTGCAGATTTCCATGGAAGTCAATGACCGTGCCTCTCAGGCATCGACCCACGGGAACTTAGCGGTTGCCTATCAAGCGCTGGGTGCCCACGACCGTGCTCTGCAGCACTACCAGAATCATCTCAACATTGCCCGGGAGCTGCGGGACATCCAGAGCGAAGCACGGGCCCTCAGCAATCTGGGCAACTTCCACTGCTCCCGAGGAGAGTACGTGCAGGCAGCCCCTTACTACGAGCAGTACCTGCGCCTGTCCCCAGAGCTGCAGGACATGGAAGGGGAGGGGAAGGTCTGCCATAACCTTGGCTACGCCCACTACTGCCTTGGCAACTACGAGGAAGCTGTTAAGTACTACGAGCAGGATCTTGCCTTAGCAAAGGATCTTCATGACAAGCTGAGCCAAGCCAAAGCCTATTGCAACCTGGGCCTGGCCTTCAAAGCCTTGATGGACTTCAGCAAAGCAGAGGAGTGTCAAAAGTACCTGTTGTCCCTGGCACAGTCTCTGAACAATTCCCAGGCCAAATTCCGAGCTCTGGGGAACTTGGGGGATATTTTTGTCTGTAAAAAAGACGTAAATGGTGCAATAAAACTTTATGAGCAGCAGTTGAACTTAGCCCATCACGTTAAAGACAGGAGACTGGAGGCCAGTGCCTATGCAGCCTTGGGCTCTGCATACAGGATGATACAGAAGTGTGACAAGGCTTTGGGTTACCACACGCAGGAGCTGGAGGTGTACCAGGAGCTGGGAGACATGCCGGGTGAATGCAGAGCACACGGTCACCTCGCTGCGGTGTATATGTCACTTGGGAAGTACACCATGGCCTTCAAGTGTTACGAAGAACAGCTGGAGCTTGGGCAGAAGTTGAAGGACCCCAGCATAGAAGCACAGGTCTACGGTAACATGGGCATCACCAAGATGAACATGAATGTCATGGAGGAAGCTATTGGCTACTTCGAACAGCAGCTGGCCATGCTGCAGCAGCTCAGCGGAAATGAGGCTGTTTTAGATCGGGGCCGAGCATACGGGAACCTGGGAGACTGTTACGAGGCTCTGGGAGATTTTGAGGAAGCTATAAAGTATTATGAGCAGTACCTGTCTGTGGCTCAAAGCTTGAACCGTATGCAGGATCAGGCAAAGGCCTACCGGGGCTTGGGCAACGGGCACAGGTAAGGAACCCTGTGTATGTGCTCTAGTGACAGAGGGTGAAGTGCAAGGACAGATGGATCTGTTGTGTTACTGGGGGGTGTCCTTTTGTGGCCATTGTACACGTGCACGGGGAGGTGGCATAGCAGCGAGTAACAGAGTCCTCTGGGTGCCGAGGACTGTGCCACCAGCTCAGATCGTGAAGCTGATGTTGCTCTGTCCCGGGAGGAGGAGACGTTTGTTGGGTGGCAGAAGAAGGAGGCTGATACAAAGGTGCTGGGGATGTCTCCTGGGGGGTGCATTTGTCTCCGCCTGAAAGGTTTGAGGTGGCCTCCAGAGGAAACAACAAAATGTCTTCTTTCAAGAAAATACTGGCAAAATAAGTGCTGTTGTTTTCTTCCCTTGCAGGGCTATGGGGAGTTTGCAGCAGGCTCTGGTGTGCTTTGAGAAGAGGCTTGTGGTGGCACATGAGCTGGGGGAGGCATTTAACAAAGCCCAGGCCTATGGGGAGCTGGGGAGCCTGCACAGCCAGCTGGGGAACTACGAACAAGCCATTTCTTGCCTGGAGCGCCAGCTGAACATTGCTCGAGAGATGAAGGACCGCGCTCTGGAGAGCGACGCTGCCTGCGGCCTCGGTGGGGTCTACCAGCAGATGGGAGAGTACGACACAGCCCTGCAGTATCACCAGCTGGACCTGCAGATTGCGGAGGAGACCAACAACCCCACTTGCCAAGGCCGGGCCTACGGGAACCTGGGCCTGACCTACGAGTCCCTGGGCACCTACGAGAGGGCGGTGGTTTATCAGGAGCAGCACCTCAGCATTGCAGCACAGATGAACGACCTTGTAGCCAAAACTGTGTCTTACAGCAGCCTGGGGAGGACTCATCACGCCTTGCAGAACTACTCTCAGGCTGTGATGTACCTGCAGGAAGGTAAGAGGCTGAATTACCCAACACAGGATGTGGTGGTAGGTGTGGGGGGATATGGGTGGCAGGCCTGAAGATGTGGAGACAAGTGAGGTGCTGCGAGCGTGGCACTAAGAGGATGTGTTTGACAGTGGCCTTTTATGGAAAAGCTCTTGCAGACATCCATAGCTACTGTTGAGCATCCGTGTAAGTCGCTGTCCCAGTGGGCTGTTATGGTCAGCACACCGTGTGAGTAGGAGCCTTCCTGGCATCCTGCAGAGGAAGCATTTCAAAGCACGGTCTGTGCCTTCCTGGGGGCATCTCAGCTAGCGCTGAGCTTGAATCCAGACTGCACCTGGCAGAGTCTCTTTAGAAAGCTCATTTGTGCCTGAGCCTAGAAGGTGTTAAACTTTCTCTGTAAGGAGCATTGCACACCAGGAACTGGCTTTGGGAAAACCACATCAGGTCATGATGGATCTTCTCTGATCCTGAGAGCAGGTCTCAAACTGATATGTGCCTTGCTGACAGCCACCTGGATTTTCTTTCTGTGCTCAAGTGGGAGTGAGACCAGGTGGGCGAGTGTCCTCTAAGCTGTGGGCAAAAACAAGTCGTGTTTGATAGGTGAGTGAGGTTCAGCTGCAGTGTCACCTGCTGCTGCTGGGCACCAGGGCCAGCGCTGGCTGTGAGTCCTGCTGCTGCCAGGGATTCCAGCGTGCAGGCAGCATCTGTTCAAGGTGGTGGCTCTCTGATGGGGGAGATGAGCAGCGTGGCTGGAGTGTATGAAGCTGAAAGCTGAAGAATTAATTACGTCAGTTAGTCTGGTTTTCCTGAAACTGACCTTGGCAGGATTCCAGTATGCTGAGGGAATTCAATTAAGTTGGAGGGGGAGAAATTAAACTCGGCTCTTTCTCCTAGTGTGACGCAGAATTCCTGAAAAGCCTGCAAACGCTGGCTGCTGCTGAGCTGTATGGTTGTGGCCAGGACCCCCACTCCCCAGTCTGTGGGAAACCTGAGGTGCCTCAGAGGAGGTGTCCCTGTTGTCAGCAGGGCCCATGGAGGCGAGAGGTTTGGAGTGTGGTGGAAGGGGGGACAACACAGAAGGTGCTGCTGGAAGTGAAAGGAGCTCCAGGTCATCCACGCCAGGACCCTGCCCTCTGCTCTGGCTCAGTACACCAACCATGCGGAGCCCGCCAGAAGGCTACGGAGAGCTGGTGGGAAGTGAGCCAGTAGTGTGGCAAGACGTGGCTTTTCTGGCAGTGTTTGGCAGCTCAGTGTGATTTTGTTTGTGTGGCTTTTAAGGTTTAAAAGTTGAAATTCCTGATAGGAGCTTACGGAGTGTGTGTCAGGGGACTGCACCTTCACCTCACGTAGGGAGGTCTTGGTCCATGGAAGCGTCTGTCTTGCTGAGGCACTGCTCACGCTGGTGCCAATTCGAGTGTCAGCAGGAGGCCCTGGGCCGCGGGCCCT